TTTTAACTCAAGATAGTAAGTGATCATTCATAGGAGAGTTAGAGATGATTCAAAACATGTGTTACAAACTTTAAATGATGCATTCATAATCTCTTATTTCTACCCTAATAAGACTTCAATTACGTGCTAGATTTTTTTGTCATGAAACTTAAAATAAAAAGTACATCCAAGAGAAAAATTCATCCAATAATGAAATAGAACCTTAATGTTGCATTATAAAAACTTGTACACAACATACATTACAACATATATTATAAAAACGTGTAAACAACATACATTATAGCAGTAAGAAAAAAAAGTGATGAGCTGGTTGTTTTGATTAGTATCAGTACTCTCATCTGATCAGTTGCAGCAAGCAAACACCCAATCCAGCCACTAAAAACTTCAACAGCAGCTCACGAAAAGTGAAGGGAAACAGGCCAAACCAAGCTGCTGCCAGCAGCCATAGGACACATCACCCACTACAGCAGAAAAAAAAAAAGCCAGCCTCCCAACAAGGATTACCCCACTTCATAGTGTTAAAATGACAATTTCATGATGAGGGTCCCTGAATATCTGAACCGTTAGCTTATCAACCACATCCCCCTATAAAAACACAACATAAGAAAAGAAGACTCTGATATTAATATTAAGTTACACCAAGACACAACTCAAGAACCTTGTTTTATTTAATACCACTTAAATTTTTTTTATACAAACTATTGTATAAAAATTGATGTAACACAACTATAATGGAAGAGTGAAATACACAAGTTAACTCAATTAATAAGTAGCACTTTAATCTATATACAAACGGTTATAGATAACATTACTTTTGTATCTTTATTAAACTACTAGGCTTTATTTACTAGAAACTAATGAAACTAATTTTCTTTTTTAAGCCACCAATCCAAGACTTCAACGAAGCCAAATCTTAAAAAAAAACCAGATAAACAAAACAAGCAGTTGTAGCAAGCAAAAACCCAATCCAGCCACTAAAATCTTCAGCAGCAGCTCACGAAAAGTGAAGGGAAACAGGCCAAACCAAGTTGCTGCCAGTAGCCATGGGACACATCACCCACTGTAGCAGAAAAAAAAGCCAACCTCCCAACAAGGATTACCCCAACTCATAGCAACTCTCAACCCCTCCACCTGCTTGTACCCTTTCCAGACCCAACCACACCAAAAAGAAAAGCTAAAAACAGTACCACTTAAAGTAAAAGAACAATTAAAAAATCATGCTTAAAGTGACCACCCCCAACCACACCAACTGCATATTGCTAAACCATAATTCAGATGCAAAGTGAAAGAACATAGAGAGTGTGATAGAAGTAAAGTGAAGTACCAATCAAGGAAAAGTTGCACATTTCATCCAAAATGTTTAGGCATTCAGAATTAATAATAATGAATGGTTAGTAGAAAGGATCAATTTCAGCAAGGTGAACTAAAGAAATAAACTGAAAAATTCTCATGAGACTTGATGGCAAAATACAGCTCGTAATAGTGCTATAGTGACAGATGAATTAAGTAATCTAATTTAAATAAAAGGGTTAGGTGAGTTGTTATATATGTAGAATGTTAAGATAACATAACCTATTAATAAGCACTAGGAAAGAGAAGATTTTGGTCACTTGAACAAACTGAAAGGATATAGAAAGTACATAGCTACCTTCTCAGCTTAAAAAAATTTATCTACTTACCGTGCACACAAGGAATTGAATAAATGAAAGTAGCTCATTATTACCAATAAATTTACTGCAAGCTACCAAAAATGTGATCCATTGTAGCTTTCATATGAATAGATTTTCTTGGAACATGTCGAATACATGTGGATAGGAAAGATAAAATCATGTCAAAGTGATCATAACAGGGAGCTATCACCCAGGGTGTCCTCCGGTGTCCACGCGACACTCTTAAGCATCTTCCAGTTTGGCAATCAATAATCTTTACCCTATGGTCCCTACTGCATAAACAAAAACAAAATGTAGTTTCAAGAAAACACATCTCTTGGCATAAACATATCATCCTTACAATAAGCATCAACAAGGAAATTACAACTTACTGTGTAGAAGCCAGCGCCTTCCCATCAGGGCTGAATGCTGCTACAATAGTTGACCCTGGGGGAGGCAACAATGCACAATAATCTGCTGATAGACGCTGCAATGATTCCGACTCTACCCTAAACCCAGTGAAGTAGTTTAAATTTAGAAAAATAACGTCAAACCCCAAAACATCACAATGAATTTAACCATCCAAAACTGAGTACTATTGCTAACATTTCCTACCAAGCATCAAGACAACATAAGCAAAACAATAAAACCCATGATTTACCATGAGACAAGACCTCGTCTTGAATTTGGCTTCCTTTCAAACCTTGACTCCAAGGAACTAGAACACCGCTTTGAAGCTTCTCTCCATCGTCTTTCGGACAAACGCTTTGTTCGAGGACAAACCTCTCTTCGTGACAATAGTCTGAACATATTGCTACCACAACCCAATTCATAAAACAAAACTAAATTAGCTACAGTTCTATCTAGGCCACAGAACAACAAATGGGAAGAAATAAGCAAATGCTACCCACCATTATAAAAATTAACCCCGACACAAGCCCAGATATGAATCTTGTAATACTAAAACTATACAACCAATAAAAATTCTCTATACAGACTAAAGTGGCAGAAAGATATGTAAGAGAGAATATAAGCTAAACTAGCAAATCAAAATAGATAATGTGGAAATCACACAGCAGCTTAAGTCACTTTGTAAAGAAGGGATTTATGGTTAGTTTGAAATAATAAAAGCACTCATTAAATCACCACCTTGTGAAACTAGCTAAAACTGTGAACAAGTGAACAAAACAAACAGCTAAAAAAAAACTCAAACAAAAATAAATTACATGAATAAAAACCAGAAAAATACAGTCTACAAACAACAACTATAACAAATTATATAAATGACGCCTAACCTTACGGGTGCAAAGTTTTGGAACCCAGCAAATGGGAAATAATCACTTTACAGTTGCAGTGCTCGTTGGGGACGCAATTGGAGGAAACCATGGTGGGCTTAGAAAGAATCAGGTTCACTAATCTTTAAAGGAAAATTAGAGAGAGATTTTAGTGTTTGTATTTTGAAGAAACTGAGATTCGATTTGGGATTTGTTTTAGGTACATTGAGAGTTGAACTTTTGGAGAAACTGAGATCGATTTGGGGTTTGTTTTAGGTAAATTGAGAATTGAAATTTTGGGCTTTGAGAAAGATTTTTAATTTAGGGGAAGAACTGAAGAAGAGAGTTTGACGTTGATTTTGTTTTGGGAGAGAGATTAGATTTAGGGGAAACTGAAATTTTGGGTTTTTTTTTTAATTTTTTTTATAATTTGAGGGAAAATTGCATGGCATTTTGTTGATATGGCAGATGATGTGGTAGTGCCATGTCATCTACCACATCATGATGTGTGAGAGTGATGTGAGATGGTGGTGTAAACCTATGAGCTTTATTTTGACAGTCCAAAGAGAAGTTAAAGCCCATGAAACCCAAGATAAATAAATAATGAACCAATATTTCTCAATAAACATGTAATTTCTTAAATTCCAAAAAATCTATTCGAAGATGTTTGAATTTTAAAGAAACTTGTAATTTCTTAAATTCTGACTCTTATAATAGTGTCATTAAATCTATCTTCTAAGATCTAATATTATAAATATGGACAAATAAACTAAGAAATAATTTTTATGGAGATTGGATCCTCCCCATTTGAGCTTCTTAGATTTTGTATTCGAAATTACTGAAAAATCAGAAGTCCCACTTTATAATTAATGGCTACATTATTTGATTTATGTATTACTCAAAGACAATTAATTGATCGAATTAATGGAACTATTAAATCCTTCTACAAGAGTTCATTCTCTCGATTTGCCAATTAACAAGTGATAGTTTACAATTGGAAATTAATTTGTTCACTTGTACTTAATGGTTTACGATTAATTAATCAATATTTCGTTATACTAATATTGCCGCCACAATTTTTTTTTTAATTTTTTTTATGAATGGGTGTGTTCAAGTTAGTTTGCGCGCATCTCAACTAATCCTCCGAGACCCTAAAGTGAACAGTTGAGTAAATTCCCTCAGTGGCCGTGCTTAGGGGACTCGAACTTAGGATCTCATGTTGGACCTCTTTACTCTTTTACCATCAAACCAGTTAGTGGTAATTGCAAATTTAGATTTGGTGTATGCTCGATAATTACAATGGGGAACTCAGTGAGAACCATCAATATTGCTCCATAATTTTAATTTCTAAATTAAATATTAGTTACCTAATTAAACAATGATATTTTGAAGCACACAGAAATCCATAACCAAAGAAGGCAGTTTTTTTATAAATGGAAACAACTTCTTCTGGTACATAAATTAATTACCTTAATTCCCCTTGCCAATTAAGGGTGACATAATGGCAGTATCAGTAAGATTAAGCCATATGTAAGCATTAATATATACTTACCTGGCAATAAATTCATATACATTGTACCTACTCAAGTTGAGGGCATCATGCACTAAGCCACATATGCATATCCTTAAACTTATTCATCATTAAAAGGTTCAATTTCAAGTTTAAATCCAAAAAACCCAGCTTTAAAAATGGTTAAAATTGTTCACCAGATGTATATAACAAGAGTTGCATGAGCTAAACATTTTAGGTAAGAAATTAAATAAAGATTAGCTCACAATTAATTCAATTACTTACCAAAATCTGATATGGTTTATTAGAATTAAATAGTATATGCCCTAAAAGTTTGATTATGGCAAGAGTCACACTAATAAGGTAAGATATTTAAGACTCTTCCATATTAGCAAAACAAAATGCCATATATGGAAGTAAAAAGGAGTGAAATCCAATATTAGAAACATTGAGGAATAAGTCCAACTCATAAATTAAGGCTCTCATTTTGCAAAATTTTCACTATAAAAACCAATCAATATTAGGGTTTTATTCACCAATTTCCAACACACCTCTATTCTCCAAAGCATGGGTCGCAAAAAGATTGAGATGAAGATGGTGAAGGATAGCAACGCCAGGCAAGTCACCTTCTCGAAGCGCCGAAATGGGCTCTTCAAGAAGGCGAATGAACTTGCTACCCTATGCGCGGCGCAAGTTGCCATCGTTGTTTTCTCGCCGGGGGGCAAGCCATTCTCATTTGGAAACCCTAGCGTAGATGCTGTTACTCAACGCTTTCTAAATCAGGACTACACCATTGAGGTTGATCCTGAGCAAGAGGCGAGAGTTGAGAAACTTAGCGAGGAACTCAATGGTTTACTTAAGCAGCTTCACATTGAGAAGAAGCGAGGAAAGATGCTTGACAAGGCTCTCAAAGAAAGTGGAGCATCAAGAAGCTTATTAAACATCAATGAACTTGGCTATGATGAGCTCGTGAACCTGAAGGCGAAGTTGGAGGAGCTTCAGAGGAATCTGAAAGGGCGCGTTAATGAGATTGAGGCGTCGTCTTCATTGCTGCTCCTGAAAAAGGTTGCCGATGAAGAAGATGATGATTAAGTAAGGGTTCAAGGCCAAAAAAAGAAACTGTGGAAGTTGTATACCATCTCCCTTTTGTACGAGCTTCAATTAATAAGAATTAGATGGTTAATTTCCCCCTGAATAAGAACCGTCTTTCAATTTTTCTGTCTTCAACATTCTATCAGTAAAATCATATTCATTACATGCAATTACATGACTCTAAGTAGTAGTTTATACATTCACATACTCGGAAAATGCACGGTTCATAATTGGTTCTATTCATTAAAACCTAACTCACCCAACACAAACGCTCATTTCCTTGATGTTCATCTCCTTAATTTGTCAAATGGAATTTATGGTGACAGATATGATTAGCTTTAATCGGTAACTTCTAAACAATTTTAATTGTATTTACATGTATAGATGTATCAACATATACACGCGCATACACATACGTACATACACGTGCACACGCGCATGCGCATGCGTGTAAGAGCATGAACTATGAGCAATTTTATATTTTTCTTTGATTTTGTCAAGGATTTTGTCAACTATAAGATTACAAGTAAAATATGAAAATTAAATGTAATTTTTGGTTACATTATCTGAATTTAATTAATTATAATTAGATCTTGTTGTGTTTATATGTATAGATAGGTATGTATACATACGCGCATGCATGCATTCGTGTTCAAACATACACTATAAAGCAATATAATAGTTTTCTTGATCAAATGGAATTCATAGTGACAGATGTGATTAGCTTTAATCGGTAATTTCTAAACAATTCTAATTGTATTTCCATGTATAGATGTATCAACATACACACGCGCATTCACATACGTACATACACGTGCACATGCGCATGCGCATGCGTGTAAGAGCATGAACTATTAACAGTTTAATCTTTTTCTTTGATTTTGTCAAGGATTTTATCAAGTATAAGATTACAAGTAAATATGAAAATTAAATGTAATTTTTTGTTAGATTATCTGAATTTAATTAATTATAATTAGATCTTGTTGTGTATATATGTATAGATGAGTATATATACACACGCGCATGCATGCATTCGTGTTTGAACATACCCCACAAAGCAATATAATAGTTTTCTTGGTTAAATGGAATTCATAGTGATAGATATGATTAGCTTTAATCGGTAACTTCTAAACAACTCTAATTGTATTTCCATGTAAAGATGTATCAACATACACACGCGCATTCACATACGTACATACACGTGCACATGCACATGCATGTAAGAGCATGAACTATTAGCAGTTTAATAAGGATTTTGTCAAGTATAAGATTACAAGTAAAATATGAAAATTAAATGTAAATTTTTGTTAGATTATCTGAATTTAATTAATTGTAATTAGATCTTGTTGTGTTTATATGTATAGATGGGTATGTATACACACGCGCATGCATGCATTCGTGTTTGAACATACACCACAAAGCAATATAATAGTTTTCTTAGTGACAGATGTGATTAGCTTTAATCGGTAACTTCTAAACAACTCTAATTGTATTTCCATGTATAGATGTATCGACATACACACGCGCATACACATACGTACATACACATGCACACGCGCATGCGCATACGTGTAAGAGCATGAACCATTAGTAGTTTAATCTTTTTCTTTAATTTTGTCAAGTATAAGATTACAAGTAAAATATGAAAATTAAATGTCATTTTTTTTTTAGATTATTTGAATTTAATTCATTATAATTAGATCTTATTGTGTTTATATGTATAGATGATGGGTATGCATACACACACGCATGTATGCATTCATGTTCGAAATACACCACAAAGCAATCTAATAGTTTTCTTGGTCAAATGGAATTCATAGTGACATATATGATTAGCTTTAATCGGTAACTTCTAAACAGTTCTAATTGTATTTACATGTACTATTAGCAATTTAATATATATATATAATTTTGTCATGTATAAGATTACAAGTAAAATATGGAAATTTAAATGTAATTTTTTATTAGAGTGTTTGAATTTGATTAATTATAATTTAGATCTTAGTGTGTTTATATGTATAGATGGGCATGCATAGAAACACGTATGCATGTATGCATGTTCGAACATACACCACAACAATCTAATAGTTTTCTTTGATTTTGTCGAGTCGTAATGTTACATGTTGAACATGAAAATTGAAAATTAATATTGTGTAAAACTCTCCAAACTTAGATTATATATTGCTAAATCTAGTTTTCTTTACATACATGTAAACATGTCATGCTCTCACACACATGCGTGTATATATGCATACACTAAAAACAATTTAAGTATGCACACGTGCCCGTAGGCATACGTATACATTCAATTGTTTTCTCTTATAGGCTTTACATATACATTTGTGTAAGAATACGCATTGTTGCAGTGGTACATATACATATGTGTACATATGCACATGTGCCCACATGCATACGTGTACATTAAATTGTCCACTCTTATAGGCTCTACGTGTGTGTATAAGTATGCACACGTGCCTGCACGTAATACGTATACATTATGCGCTATTTACTCTTTTCTTTTTACTTATACGAGTACAACATTATCAGTCAAATTAGATAGATAAATCTAAATAGATAAATCTAATTGAGTTTACACATAAATGTATAAACATGCAAATTAATATTTTTCTATCATATAATTCGTCAAGGTATAATGTATTAAAGTAGTTCGATATTAGTGAAAAATTCTCCAAACTTTAATTAGATATTGTTAAAACTAATTGTTTTAATTTATACGTATAGATGTTTAAGATGTACATGCATAAATGTCTCTAGACAAAAGAAAAGATTGTCTGGGTATGCCAGGGTTTGTCTGGGCAGTCGATCAATGGTTTCACTTAAGTCAGTTTCCAGTGCAATCGGAGTTTTGGAAATAGTAATTAAGAGTCAGTGGAGAATAATGAGAGTTGAAGATAAGTACTGCTAACATATTGTTTGAGACAGACATGCATAAACCTTGCTATTTCTACTCTTAGTTATACTGTTTTTGTCATGCCCCCTCCCGGGTATCCCTGCCCCATTATATATTTATAACATAATGTAGTACTTTGATCCGGACTTTATATTTGTTATTTATCAATATATTAGGGCATTATATATAGTATTTTATGCAGCCACAGTAATTTGTATAACTACTTTCATTTGTAATTATTCTAAAAAAATATGTCTAAAAGGTGGTTAAGGAACCACCATCTGATATAATCAAAGATAAATACGAATCAAAAGAGTAAATTTTGTGTTTGAAAAGCATTTATTAGATAACTGTGGTCACTCTTTCATTAGATTATATTCCTTAAATGGATTAATTTCCTAACTACGAAACCTTGTCTTTATATTTTGAAAGTAACGTTATATTTTGATTTCAAGTTTTGTATCTTGTGTGATGCCTTGAAGGTGTTAGTGCATTTTTACAAATTTGTAGTTAAATATAATGAAAAATCAGAGAAAAAACTGAAGTATGAAATCTTAAAGGGAATGTCACGGTAATTTATCAACGCAGTTTACAAAGATATTGATAAGGCATGGTGCATTTGCATACTTTGAAGCCAGAGAAATATTAAACGAAGATATCTATCGCCATTATATAGAATATTTGGAACTTGGTCATTAATTTGATTACAGTGCATGTTTGTGTAAAGTGAATACAAATGCCAAGTGTACGTTTGATTTTGCTCTTGGTAATTATTATGCAACCTTCTCTTCGGTCTCAGGTTTTGTCATGTCATTAGCTTTCCTGGATCTGAATCCATGAATTGCAGTGAAGGAAATTGTTTGCATACTGCTTTTAAAAACTGAACTGAACTGTTTTTTATTAAGAAACATCAATGGATCGACTCGACAACAACATGACATTAAAGGACTCATGACTTAAACTGAAACATAAAATGGAGACACTAAAGATGATGAAAAACATAGAAAGACTGAAATTATAACTATCATGACATGATAGTTATTTAGAACTGCCCTGGCTTGAAACCACCATAGCCATAAGGAAAGGAACTGCTGGATGGACCTGCTTCATCCGGATTGTTTGCCCAAAAAGGGTTTGTTGCTTTGCCGGTATTCGGTGGAGGAGCCATCGAAGAAGATGAGGCCCCCGGAGTTCCACCAGTCTTCTGGCAGATTTCGTTGTACAAGCTCAGGTGCAACTCTTCCAAAGAAGCATGCATTTGATGGAGCTCCTCAACGTTAAGTTCATCAATAGGAGTTTCCCACCACCCCTGAGTTTCTTTCCCATTAGACAACTGCTTCAACTCTTTCCCTCGTTCCTTCTCGGCCTCAAGTTCGCTGAGGAGGTCATTGTGGAGCTGACTCAGGTCTTCGATTCTCGCTTTGCGGTGAGCCTCCACCAGGGGGTGAGTTACGTCACCTTCCGGTGGCTGCAGACCCATGAAGCGGTTTGCCACAGCTTCAATCGATGGGTGGCCAAATGAGAATGGCTTACCCGATGGTGAAAACACCACAATTCCAACCTCAGCCCCAGTGAGAGTGACAAGTTCACTTGCCTTCTTGTAGATGCCAGATCTACGTTTTGAGAAAGTAATCAACCTGTCTTCGTCTTTCTCAATCCTCTTCATCTCAATCTTCTGTCTCCCTTTGGTCTTCTTGCCTGCCATTGCCAAAACTTTTTGTTAAATTTGTGTGCTTGGTATGGTCTAGATAGTCATGTATATATAGGAGGAACTACCCAATGAGAATTAAATTGCATTAGAAATAATGGAGTTGTCCTCTTAATTTCTATAATAATTTACATTTTTTTTAATATTGTGCAAATTAAGTATTAATTTTATTTCACAGTTTTTATTTTTCAAATATAGAATTTATTTTGTGTCTTCTTTAAGTCCATGCACCCTCTTATCCATCACCAATCATATCCCCTCAATAGTCAATACTATTGGTCATTCATCTAGGGCTAACTAATCAAACTTCCATGTTAATATACATTACTATTTTTATTTATCTATTTTAATATTATAGGTTTGTCGTGATCGATCAAACGTGTTTTATTAGTTATAGAAAGTTTATTTATCTATTTCACACAATATCTAAGCATGATCGCGATCGATCGGATATGTTAGACTACGTGTTAAGCGCGCAACTAGTTACACTGTATATTTTCTTCTCTGACAATTATCACATGTAAAGATTTAAAACATTTATTAAAAAATTTACCAAAGTAGATTTTAACTAGAAATATGCTTTTGTGTAAGAGAGATGTATTAAAAGCTTCTTAAAAATAAGGCTAGTTTGACAGAGCAAAATTAAAGAAATAATTAGACATAAGATTGAAATATTAGTGCCTAATATTAGTGTAAAAATTATTTTGTATTACTAAATATTGAATTGACCATATCAAAACCACTCATTCTTTATGATAATTACAGAATCAGAAGTAAATTAAGAAGAGATCACCATACATTGCATACTGATGTAATGCATATTGAATCTGTAATAGTTAATTAATTAATTACATTCTAATTCAGTAGTAGAAAATGGTTTTAACTTAAAATTATGGTAATGAATTTGGTCATTTGATAAGCATGTGGTCTCTAGGATTTACCAATATTTAGTTTAAACTCATGTAATTAGGAACCTTGCTTGAACTCATATAATTAACTCCTTTTCTCATAATTGAAACTTCATATAATTAGAATACCTGGTGCCAACATTTTCTTACATACAATTTTAATACATTAGCCAGGTTTCAATGCAAAAAAGAGATTTCCAGGAGACATTTAATTGTATTTTCATTGGCAGGGAGCATGTATAGAAAGTTTGATTTGGCAGATACCTTTAAAGGCCAGAGTAATTAAACACTTAATAATTTCTTATTTTGTCATTCATGGACTTGTTAATTACACACTCACTGGAAAACTGTAATGTGGTTGTATTGTATTTGACTTCTTTCTTAAATTTGTGCATAAATTGGCCGAAAAATTATATACCTATCCTTTTGTGGTCGGATGACAAACCCTTTAGTCTTGGGCTTAGCTATACCTAAAGGCAATGGTAGATCTAGCCCCTTTGAGAGCCTACCCTCGAGTTTTAAAAAAAAAAATATATATTAATATATAGACCACAAAATTGTTATTAATATATATACTGGGTGATTTTAAAAAAAAAAAAAAAAAAAGAGAGTTATTTTACACATATCTAGGCCCACAAATAACTTGTTATTAATATATATATATATTCCAAGCCTACATCATATTAAAAGTTTAAAACTCTCTCTACTATTCTTCTAACTCTACATGTTTTTTATGATTTTATCCCCAAAATTCTTTACTCTCTCTTTCTCTTCCTTATGTTATTCAATCTTAAAACTTTTAAAGACTGAAATTGTTGAAGCTTTCACTACTCAAGGTGTCACAATTAGCTTTGTTTTCTGTTTTATAAGTTTTAGGTGTATTGCTCATTTTAGGATTGAATCATTTTTTTTTTTTTTTTGAGGTTTTTTATTCTTATTTGAGGGAAAAAGACCTCGATCTTGTTAGTTTATTTTGTGTTTTGTGTCTAAGAATGAACTTGCTTTCCCAAATTAAAATATTAACTATATTTTAAAAGACATTATTTCTTACCTTTCACCCATCACTTTCCTGCATTTCAAACGTCACCGTTCTGCTACTCAAAATAAATAAAGAAATTTGAGTTACTATCTGTGTTTATATCAAGAAATTTTTTTTTATTAATTTATATTAAAAGTCAACGCAATGTTGACTTGATTTAAATTTTTGTTGACTTTAGTTTAGGTTAGGTCTGGTCAAAGTCATGAAAATTTATATTATAATATTTGGAAGCTAAAAATAAAAAATTAAAAAAAAATTAAAAGAAGGCTTTGCTCAAGGTTTACTTAACACATTTACTCAAAATTTTGCTTCTCATGAATTTATTCAAGTAGGAAAGTATTGCGTTATTGCATTCTTTTCTCTCAGGTTTTTAATATTGTATTATTTTCTTTGCTTAAGGTTTGGTGATTTTTTAAAGTTTTTACTAGTTGTTTAGCAAACAATGACGGAGCCTCAAAGGCCCCCCCCTTGACAAATATCTTGGATCCGCCATTGCCTAAAGGGTCTTGTGTTTGAGTTGTGAAAGAGATACCTTCCACACTTGTGCAATTACCTTGGTCCATTGTGCTTGTAGAACGAGTGTTGCGTAACCCTGAAGATTAGACAGACTCTAATGAGAGTCTCGATACCTAACATACTTAAAAAAAAAAAAAAAAAAAAATCACCATTATTAGTCCATTTATTTCCATAACCTAATGCCACAATAGAGTGAGTTTTTTAGTGTGTTGGGTCATGGGTATGACTCAAAAAGCCCAATATATTGGATGCTGATTGGGCCTCTCTTCCTAAACATTTAGGACAAAGCCCAATTTCCAGCCCCCATTACCATTACCATGAAGAATGGAATTGGTTGGTCAGGTTCCATTAGAGCATTATGGAGGGGAAGAATGATAAGCAGAAAGTTCCTCTCCACTAACACATAGTCAATTTATTTTACACCTACGGTTCCATAAATTCTCATGGAGCTACTCCATTAATATCTATATCTTCACTTTATCAACTTTCTCAGTGGGTGCTCCCCCTAGTCTTTTTCTGCTTCCATCAACCTCATAATTTTGTTGTTCATAATCATTTCACTTACTTAGCAATAGACAATGTATGACATCAAATTGTTTTAATTTCTTTTTTTCTTCTTACGAAAATCAAAGGTTCGAATATTTTCCGATAGAGAACGACACGAACGAATATGGTTAATTGGTTTAATAGAAAATGAGCCAATAGTACTCTAAAAGAATACTTGGGTTGAGACTAGGCAATGAGATAGGGAGGAGGGCAAAGGGTATTCTTCTATTGGCAATAGGGAAATGGATGGAGGAGTCCATTGAATGAGGACTTGGGATGAAGGCGGCTGAAAGGGACAACCTGGGACTGGGACTGGGACTGGGACTTGGGAGTTGTTGTCCAGGGCTTTTGTTGTCATTATTTTATTTAATAACCAATTAAATCGGGATTAGTATTCTACTAATTTTAATTTCCACTTAAAACAAGAGAGGAGGCTAGTCTTTTCTGTCAGAACATGGGGATATTTATATTTTATAATTAATTTGTTTTTAATCAATCAATTTAAATGTTTAATTATATAATTAATAATATATAATATTATTATTAGCACGAGTATAAAAAATCATGTGACAAAATTAAGGAATAAGTTAAAGATGAAAGTAGGGTCAAAACACTGGGTCAAAGACGGATCACGGAATCTCCTAAATTTCACAACCCACGCGCTCTCGCGCGTATTCTTTTCCTTTCCTTTTTTTTTTTTTTTTTTTTTTGTTTTCCAATTTTAACTTTAACCAACAAATTCAAAGTATTAACGTCTTATTTTATTTTTCTCATAGAACTCTCAGTCTCTATCAATAATCCCCACCTAGTAAGAAATCAGTCAGAGATCTTGCATGAAACTGCTGAAAGATACACTTGAAAGGAATTTCGTTTCTTTTCGGCCGCGGCTGTTTGTAGTTCCAGACCCAAAGCCTTCTTAGCTCACTTTTCAGTTCCTTTCAGAAAGCACTTAAACTTGTGTATCATATATATATATTGATTGTTGACATATATATATTTATGATTATCATAGAGATAAATGCTTGACATAAGAGACAGGGTCTGGGCCGTCCTAGAGTTTTGGTGGGGTGTGAATGTGGGTCTTGTTTGTTTGGTGACAGCATATTGTCTTATTACTTGCTTTTACCCTCAGGTTTTTTCTACTGATTGTGTTTTTGATAATTGAGGTTGGTGTATCTTGTGACTTTTTTTTATTTTTTTGGTTGTCGGGTAAAGTACCATAGCGTTAAAAATACATGCTTCGAATGTGCGATTTTGGATGCTGGAGGTGAATTTGTAGTTTGATTGCGGTTTGGCTGAGGAGAGATGCCTATTAAATGTCGCACAAAACTTTGGTGCATGGATTAGTTTGTTGCGTTTTGATTTGGTACTCATGCGATAGTATGCTTTTTCATTAATGTATGGTTAAGAAGGGGATGAAATAAATGTGGTTTGGTGCTTGTGTTCTTTCTCTTATGTGGGATGGTTTAAGAGAGCAGTGAGAATTTAGTAAAGCGTTTTGTACTTATGCAAGAATATGGATTAGGGGGAAATATTTATTTAGTTCTTTATTTTTAAAGATTTGTGTGTATTGGTTACTATAGGAGAAATTTGTTTCCTTGAGGAGCAGTGGATTAGTGTGGCGTTTGTATGTTTTCATTGAAAGTGATACTTTGAGATTCACAGGATTGACTTGTTAGTGGATTAATTGTCCATTAACTGTACTATTGATGGTCAACGATGGTTCATGGCAAAAAGTTCATTAGACAGTTGGTTGATTGTGGTGATTTTCTCTGTAAGATTGTACGTTGTAGGCAAAAATATTTGAGTTTGTTGTAGCGGGACTTCATATTCAAGCTAAAGGAAACTTGAATACTAGGGTAAAATATCTACACATTCCCTTTGTTGAGTTTGAACAAGATATAGCTTGTGTCATTAGGTTCCTTGACCAATGACATATGTCATTCTACAGAGGTGGTGTACCTTGTGAGTTTGACAAGTTAATTTAG